GCAACAACGCTACACATAAAAACTGATGATGGTGGAAAAATGCACCGAAACGTATTTTGATTGATAAATAGAGACAATAAATGACTGAAACCCTGGAATAAATTTGATTTGGAATTGAAACACAGTCAGGAAAGTATATAGAATTAAAGTAGATGTACATACCTGCGCCCAGAATACTAACGCCGACTGTATGAATGCCCACCGCAGCCCCAACAACGCTCACAGACACGGACAGTCCGATGCCTAAAGCGGCCCACATATGTGGCGAAGTGTTCTCCAGAAACCATCCCAAACTGGCGCGTTCGCCCTTGTTCGTCAGCACATGATACAAGGATAAAACGGTGGTGGCAGCCAGTAGTAGACCCACAAAAGTCGCCGATAGGACTGCTCTTAAGCTCGTCTGGGCCGTCATTTTACAGCCGATAAACCAGCGGGTTTAGTGATTTGGTTTTTTCAGGTGTGCTATTTTTAAATGATAAAAACCGGAAATATAACCAAATTCTCTTAGCTGCGATAACTGCGCATTCTATAACTAACTTGCGAAGTTTGTATTGATGTCCTGGCAAGCCTGGATTTGCGCACGCAAACTGGAAAGAGTTTTATTTTACTCCTTGGCTCATACAGTTTTGTCTGGATATGTGAGTCTGAGGTTTCCTTCAGTTGTCCGTAGTGTGAGGCGTCCAATAATTTGACTAGTGAAGAAAAACCCTAATAACTGGCTGATGGCTGATTTCAAATGTAATCAACTTCGAGCGCACCTCATTATCAGGGCACAAAAGTCTTGCTAGTGCTCATTCGCTAACACTTTCAACACTATACAGAACTTAAACACTAACGTCATAAATTCAAACAGTCACAGTTACTGGAAGACAACTTGTCACTTGTCACTTCTGCTTAATGCGTGCGTATTTGACGGAGACGGCAACACTATTTCAAACAAATCAACTGCGCTCGGCGCACTCGGGCCCAAATCGACTGTTATCGGCGCATCCGATGACTGTCGAGTGACACCGAAATGTCAGTTGCGGAGAAAATTAGTGTTTTTAGCATGAAATGTGTAGAAAAAAGTGTCGCAAAGTGCCCCAACCGTTGGTCATTGCAGCAATGCAGGTTTTTCTGAGCAAATGTGTATATGCAAAGCCCCATGTAAGAACCGGGTACTTTCAGTGGCTTTTAACGTTGATTTTATGTGAAAAACACTTTGTCTTTCTTTCCAACTTTGACCACCATAAATGTATACTGCGAAGCCTTTTGAATAGAGGAATGTAAGAGAAAGTGAAGTTGAAAACCCATAAAAATCTATATAAACTCCATATATTTTATTTTACAGCTTATCTATAAACGCTTCATGGTTTCGTAGCGTTGCCACTAAGCCCTCTTTATTGATCACATTAGTGTCGTTGTAATACGTCAGTGTTTGTCCGTGTTTGGTAGTCATTTTTCCGCCCAAAGCGCTCAGAATAGCATTTCCAGCGCAAATATCCCACTTTTTGATCGCCGTGCTGTGCAAGTAAGCATCCGCCGTATTGTCTGCGACTCTTAAGGCTTTGTACCCTGAAAAATCACCCATTTCAATTATCAAAACAGAAATTCTATAGGGTGTCCAAAACTCATTAAACTGAACATGTTTGCAAGCATTGAGACTAGTTCACAGTTTTTCCTTTCACGCTTCGGACCCGGTGTATGCTAAAAACACAATTGTGGACTTGCCTGCGCCAGCGGCAACTATCAGTTTAAAATCCTTAAACTTTGTTTTCAATGTTTGCTCTATAGTTCCACTGTGTGACCGTGATATGATGATTTTTGGCAAGTTCGAATCCGTCCCATGTACCTACAAATTGAGCAAGGCTTAGAGCAGCCCCAGGGTTGAATAAAACAGAAAATAGTATTGGCAGTTTCCTAGGGGCTCCACAGAATGACAATAAATTATAGGCACTTCTCATACTTTTTCTGTTCTATTAAACAGAGCAGAAAATTAACAGCCTTATTACCTTCTCGTTAAGATTGGCCGAATGTCCAAAACCCACCACAGCCCAAGAAGTTGACTCATTGAACGGTTGATGGATTACCCCAATAATCGGCTTACCGTTTACGGCCACACACACCATCGTGGTCACGTATTGATACAACTTTTCTGCAAATAGATCAGGCTTAAACACCTTTAAATTATTGCTAAGAAAGTTTAAATTCTGGGTTCAGGGGCCTCTGAATGAGGCCCTTTTATACGCCCGCTTTCGGTTGAAGCTAAACATGCAAACGTTGTTCTGTTGACTTCTGATATGCTTCTAGATGGAAGGTCTATTGAGAAAAGTAGAAATTGTGGAATTGATTGGTGCAGTGAATCTTCAATCAATCGGAGTTTTGATGCATTTTGAACCGGTTATTGCATCGTGAACCAACGCTTGAACTCCCGTTCTTTAGACTAACGCAACAGACAACGCAAAGCCTCCACCAATATTAAAATCTACCTGTATATTCCACGGTAGCATCCAAAGGATCTATCCATATTGTAACGTCGCTTGCCTCTACATACGCCGCTGGATAATCAAACTGCAGATTTAATGGTTGATTGTACGTTTGGGCTGCCGATTCCTTTTTACAATTAATGCCGTTTTCCTCAGAAATTAGCGTCACTTGGGGCAAAGCCCTTGTTATGATGCCGAGCATGGCACAGTGGCTGAAATAGTCTGCACTTGTTACGCTATCATCTTTTCCTTCGGCCGTTTTGCCTTTCGAATGGATCTTTAGATTGTTTCGCGTTGAAACTACCAGGCTGCCGCCGGCTTGGGCCGCGTGAATCGCAACTTCCAGCATATAAAACAAGCTAACATTTTCGCTGGTTGCTGCTTTGAAAAATTGCAAATACACAAATACGACAGCGAGAAGGAATAGCACACAGTAGGCCCGTTTGTTTAGCTTGATTATCCCGGAGAAGTTCATTATTTTTACTTCATTTCAGTCCTAATCTTTACGGATTTCTTTTTGGAAATTTTCTTCAACCATAACAAAAACAAAGTTTTGGTTTGACAGTGACAGTTTGAGGTTAGTAACGGCGAACTTTGGACTAGCGCATATATCGTAACTGACTCCTTGCTTAAGGGCTCGGAATCAGGGGCGGATCCAGCTTTAAAGTCAGGGGGGGGTTAAGTAGAAAAAATACAGTTTTCTGTTGTCTATGAAATTGGAAAAATGATCGTCGTTTTGTGCAAGGGTAGCGCAAGATTATTGCAAAATTTCATGTTTTCCGTCCCGTTTTGCATGTTTCTCGGAAGCAAAATGAACAAGAACGCTCGGTTTTACATCATTCCAGAGATAACTAAATGGCCTTTATTCGCACCGTTGGATAGAGAATTGAATGGGGGGTCCCCTATGACCCCCAAGACTTCCCCCCTGGATCCGCCCTTGCTTCAAACAATCAAAGTGTTAAAGCCTAAAATATCACCATTAAGCTCGGCAACATTTCGGCATCCAAATCGCCCATTTGAGACGCAAAACCCTGAAGAACCCTCCGAAAACTACTTACAACTCTAAACATTCAAGGGGGACGCAATAAACTTCCGAAAGGCCATTTTCGAAACTCGCATCATTTCACGAAAAACGTCCTACCGACCGGGAAAACACCATAAAAGTGTAGAGAAGAGTTTGATTTTGCGGAACATCAGCAACTTTTTAGAGGAAAATGAAAAGTCTGGGTTTTTTTGAGTTTATAGTGGAGCGTGCCTTGACAAAGAAAGCTGGCTACTAAATATGCAAAAAAGTCTATAGGAGCCCACTTATAACCATGTCCCGGATTTCCTTCCTGCGCACTTTCCCCGAAGGACTGGTGGGAAGGACGTCGATAAACTTCACTCCTCCTCTCAGCCTCTGAAAGTCGTTCACTCGGCCCTCAACAAAGCTCGTGATTTCCTCTTCAGTTACTCTCCCTACAAACGACTGGTGAAGCACCACAATTGCCATGGGATGATCGCCCTCCACCTCATGGGGAATTCCTATAACGATGCACTGTTTGACCGAAGGATGTTCTTGCAGGATCTTAAAATGAAGATGTCCCTCACACTTTTCCTCAAATTCATGCGCGGCAGCCTACCTGTTCAACTACAGCGGGCGGCACTTGGTAGCCGCGGAATTTTAGAATCTCCTTCTTGCGATCCACTATGTAAAAGCAATGATTTTCGTCAAAATATGCTATATCGCCTGTGCATAACCAGCCCTCGTTATCATATGCTGCAGATGAGTCTTGCTGGTAGTAACCAACCATGCTGAACTCGCTTTTAACCAGCAGCTCGCCTTGCTGGTGTGGCCCGCTATTGTCTTCAGTTTCTACGTTCACCACCTAAACATCCGCAATGTTTCCCCGAAAAGTGCTGGCAAAAACTCATCTTGCCTTATATTGGCACCCTGGTGTGGGACGTCCACTGGAAGAGGGATTGGAATGCATCAGCAGCGTGTCTTTGGTGCTGGCCAAGTTGAACATAACTGCCACTCCACAGAGTTCCGAACATCCATACATTTGGGAGACAAACGTTCCAGGCAAAAGTTCTCGGAGTTCGCGGATTTTCTCTGTGGACAAATGGCCTCCTCCAGTAGCGAGTGAATATAGAGCTGATGTGTCGATTCCATCCGGCCTACCAGCCGAGATCATGCAGTGTGCGTAGAAAGGAGGAAGGAACACATAGGCCACCTTAAACCAACAATTTTCTCCTATACAGGGTGATTCAAAATTGGCGTCATTCCCTTTAAGGGGTGCTAGATGTTCCCTTGGGGAGTACGAGAAAAATATTGAAAAATTTTTTTTTTTTATTTCTAGAAGATATTAACAGTTGAAGATCGAATTTCAACTTTGTTATTAAGCATTATTTTGAAATGGTTCCATGTTTACTTGGTAGCCTATTGGAATACTTAAACATTCAAAAAGAAAAATTACGAAAAATTTTTATATCAAAAAAGTTTTCTTCTACAATTTTTTGATGAAAGGGCACAGCGGCAATGATGTTTTTTGTCATTAACAGATAGTTACAGGTAGATCTTGTCAATCTTAACAGTAATTTGTCAAACTGTGACTTACTTTGAATTTCCTTTCTCGAATTGGCGGATATGCGATTAGTTCAGGGGAAATGCTACAGTAAGATAGCAGAAGAAAAAACTCATTGTAATTAAATTAATTGTAAAGTATTCATTGGAAAAAATGACGCTGAGAGTCACGTCTAAGAAGAATATTCCTCTGCTGCATCCATTCTGGATGCAGCTAGTAGTAGAAGTTCATCAGCAGACCGAGCAAAACTCTTGATGCGCCAAAGACATGCAGCAATTGTACAATTGTGAGTTTTTATAGTTTTACTTGGTATTTGTGCAGTATATTCCAAATGTCCTTCGGGTCGTACTGCTTGTGCACCACTCTGGAACAACCATTTAGAATGCAGGCTGACAAAGTAAGTATCGCTGATAGCCAATATAACGTTGAATAGCATAGCGTGGCACCACCGGGACGAAATATACCGTTTCGGCTGCAAA